ACTACTTAACCGGTTCGAATCGTTTCTAACTCAGTGTACCAGTGTACCAGTACCAGTGCAGGGGCCTCATCTGTTACTGGAGTCACGACATCTAGCGTCTGAGCGGAACGGTCTTAGGGCCGTTACTGTTCTTAATATATATAAATGACTCACCTGATGGTCTTAACTCAAAGGGGAGTCTTTTCGCTGATGATGCATTGTTGTATGAAACAATCTGTTGTGAAGGTGATCTTCAGGTTGATCTATTTAGATTTAAAGCTTGGCAACAAAAGTCGAAGATGGAATTCAACTCTTCAAGGCATGTCAAAGTGTAAGGTAATGTGCTTTACAACCAAGAGAGATCCATCAAAGCGTGTGACGAAATTCTAGGAGAAGTTAATTCTCACCCTTATCTGGGAGTAGTGCTTGATAACAAAATAAGGTGGTCCCCACACATCGAAAAATATCTCATCTAGGGCAAATTATGTCTTAACGCAATCTGTGGAAAGAAACCGCGTACACGACACCTGTGAGACGATGAAATGCCCGTAGTGCATGGGAACCACAATACCAAAAAGATAAAGTCGCTCTTGAAAGGGTACAACGAAATTCGGCTGGCTTTGTCACGGGAAATTACGATCAAACAGCGAGAGTGGCAGGAATGCTGCAAGAATTAAAGTGGGACACACTTGAAACAATGAGAAGACACACAGGGCTCTCCGTTATTTATAAGATGTGCTATGATGTCATATGTGGGGGAATGGAAGGACTATTTGATTCCAAATGAAGAAAGGAGAACACAAGGAAGCTACCATTTTAATTTTATTGTACCGAAAGGACACAAGGATGTTTTAAGATTTTCATTCTTTCCCAGGACAATAACTGAATGTAATCTCTGTCTATTTTTAACGGTAAAATCTTCTAGGTTATCTTTTATAAGCAGTTTATATTACTTTTATTTTTAGTTTAAGTTTTTATTTCCATTTTTAATTTTGTAATTTTTATTATTTAGTGTTTTAGAGTTGGTGTGGTGTCCACTGATTGTTGCCGACAGAATAATATTTAGATTTTGATTTAGAGTACAAGGTACAACTTGCAATTTATACCTGGGTTTTGACGCCTGAAATCTGTCAAGCTTTGGTTAGACGGCATGACTAGTACATTCAGTTTTAGTTTGAATTTATTGCACATTTTGAATGTAAAACATTGACAATACTCACACTGAAATATACTAGTCATGGATATATGTATTGTCCGCATTAATTTGGAAAAATTAGCATAACGTCAAAACAGTGAATGTTATAGAGCGGATTTTTGACCGGTTCGTAGGTTAGGTTTGTCTTGAAATTTCAAGGTGTTGCAGTGAATCAATCTTAATGAAAGTTTCAGACATTATTATATACATTATGAAGATTATGTGAAGAGATTTAAAAAAATTCGTTCGAGTCGTTTCAGAGATAAAAGTCCAAATTTTGAATGAAGTTGTACTTTTTCAGGTGGTGAGAAAACGGGTTAGTTTTCAAGATCGCAAGAACGAAAATAAGCCAAAATTTCCTAGCATTAAAATATGATATTAAGCAGCATTGTGACGCTACTTAAGAATAATTTGTGTCATTCATGACTTTTTTTAATCAAATAATCTATCACGGCTATTGAAAATTTAAGGTTTGAAATATATTTTCGTTTTAGTTGAATTCAAACGTACAGAATTTTTTACTTCTTACGGAGATTGTCTGCTAAACACCAAACTGTAAGTTCCTAGCGTTGGATTTTCAGTAGCTGGTCTAGGTCACACAAAATTTGGCTTTTATGAATTTCAAAGTTTTTTGTTTATCGTTGTCATAAAAATATCGATTTTAATTAAAACTGCATTTTCACAAATTTCAATCCATAGCCAATTACTGGTGAAAATTTTGTAGCGATTGGACAAGGAAAAAAACCGCTTTTAAGGCGATTGAAAAATATCGGTATGGCCTCTGAAAAACTGTATCGAAACACCTTAAACTAGGCTAAAACTAGCTAGTGGATGACACCCCCTCCACATGGGTTCGTAGGGAGAGAAGTTTACGGTAGATCATTCGATGATTCGCAAACTAGGAGGTTTGTTACTCAGCGCCACAACGAGTTAAAAGAGCTGAACTTCTGAATATGATATGTAGTGATAGTGAGAATGAGCCAGTCCTCCAAGACATCTCCGGAGAACATTTAAAAGAAGATCTAATAAAGCACAATATGCGAGATTGGATATTCATGCACGTGGATGTTGGGAGCACCAATGATCTACATTGATTGACGCGAGGGTCTGTAAATGATGCTGAGTCATATAAAGCTACAACAGATCTACCGTATGCATGAGGACAAGAAAGAGCGTCTCTACCTAAGGAGAGTTCTCGACGTTGATCATGGAACATTTGCACCTTTGGTTTTCACCACAACTGGCGGAATGGGAGACAAATGCTTGGCATGTCAGAACAATAATCTTATTTGCCCTATTAAGATTTGCCTTCAATTGTGTTAGGCAAAAAATAGGGACGAGTTCCGCGTTGAAACTGTTAAAGGTGTGATCCACAAGGACTTTTGAATTTTTTTCTAGAAAAATGTGTGGGAAAAATTTACATTAGTTTAAAAATTCATTTTACTCTTATGAATTTTATTGTCTTTTGAAAACTAATAAAATATTGTATTGCTTTTTTTGTAGATCGACGATAGCACAACTGAGTTGCGCAGCAGAAGGAGACGTTTATGCTGTATCATCATCTAAATCACTTACCCTGCATGGCGGAGGCGCAGAAAGAGGAGAAGGGAGAAAAAAACGAAAAGACAAAGGACGAGGAAGCGTCTGCTATGAGGACCTCTGCATTTCCATTATGCCCAACAATTTTCCTACTAATTCAATTCAGCCGTCAGCTGTCAATACTTGACCAGTCAGAAGAAAATAATGCTCTTCCTAGCATGGTTATAAATGTTATGCATCAGTGTGTTACCAGCAATTGTCGAGTTTGTGTTTTTTTTAATGATATCACCAAACTATGATACTTAAAAACCTGAAAAAGCATAAGCCTAGGTGTCTTTTAAGTCGTCACGAATTCGGGTCTAGTAACATAACGAGCATGTATTTTTTTTTGTAAATGCCATACGTTTGTCATTTGCAGCGGTCTGTCCATGTATTTTATCAACTTTGCTATAAATGCAAGCCGCTCAGGAAGGCTTGAAATGTAAGTATGGGGTATTTAACAATTAATGAATGAGGCTGAGTATCTTATGAAGAATTATGGAGATCAAGGAGGGTGTTCGGCCGAGGCGGATAACACCCTCCGAGATCTCCATATTCTTCATATGATACGGATTTCGCCCTTCGAGTTGTCTTCTTGCTCTTCTTGCCATGTTTTTAGGTATTATTTTGCCTAGTTCTTAATCTTGAGACAAGTCAATTGTCCGCCTTTTTTGTTTTCACATCCAAAACCACTCAACTCGTCCCCAGGTCTTCTCGGTTAACGGTGCATTAACCTGCAGGGAAGCTGCACTTTTGACGTCATCGGTTGATTAATCGCAAAATTCTCTCAATTTTGTTCATAAGTAGCAAGTTATGGTGAATTATGCATGTGCTTTTAGCCAATCAGAATCGGGGAAATATTTTGAATGAATAATAATGGCTATAGGATCAGTAAGTAACTTTTTGTTACTGCAGGGAAAGGCTCCAACAACAACATCAACTGGGGTGAACATTACAATTATTATTCTGTTTGCTGCAGATTGATAGTTATGGCACAGTATGTTTGCGTTTACGAAAAGAGGTTATTTTGTAAAAGGAACACGTCACAGAAGTTTCCTCCAGTGCTGTATACAACCCAGGAAAAACAAGATGACACTTCTGTTTGCCTTAATCAAAACTATACTCATCTAAGAACTTAAACCAGACGACAGCTCTGTCTTTTTGATCATGGTTAATCTTGTATCGGAGAATTCACTCTATAAATCACTCTGCGTTTGCTATAATAACAAATTCTTTTCTGGGGATTTTGGGTCTTATGCGAGGCTAACACTACCAAAGGTGATCACTGCTGGAAAGGAAGAATGTTAGCAACTCGGCATTGAACCTGACCTGGAATCGAACCCAGATTCGCGATAATTGCACTACAAACATTTATGACTACTTCTGCTTCATAACCCTGAAAATCTTTTATTATCATTATTATTATTCATTATTATTATTATTATTAATATTATTTTAACTTATTAACTTACGACCTTACGTACAAAATACAAGGACTTTTCGTTACTTTATCTAATGTTTGTAAATGATTCCAATTGTTTCAACAGTGAACAACTACCAGGCTTTAAATAAAGGTTAAACGTTTAGACTTCATTTCGGCAATAGTTATAATACTTATGGTACAAATGCTCCATGGCTATCAATTTTTCACGCTTTTTCGATAAAGACAAGGCTTGCTTAGACCCATCCCAAAGTTTGAGAAGGGTTTCTCAGCACTCTAGTCTCACTGGTAACAAACCCATATACGTTCTTGTAATGTGTCAATAGGCGGGAAACAGGGAGAATGATCAGCTTTTTTTTCTGTCTCTCGCATTAAAAAAAAATTGACAAAGCGCTCTTCGAGCGAGTCAGGCCAAACCGACCAGAGATAATCTTACTTTTCAGTAGTGTGAAGCGCTTATATTATATTATCATTATATTAGGAGTTCTGCGATCCCTTCTACATGTGTAAAGACCGCAAGGTTTACCCCCGACGCTACAGCTTTCTGTAGAAATACCCGCATTAACCATGTATAGGTCTTGGAAGGGAGAATTAATGTGGAGGAGGTTTTTTTCTGTAGGATACAACAGGTCGAAAAGACTTGAATCCGAATCAAAGCATCCAAATTACAGTGTGTTCACCACTAGACCACCACCGATCCCCAAGTTTTTTGCGCAAGAAGTGAGGACTCTTGCGGCCCCTCTCTCCCTCCTGTATGAAAACGTCCCTGGTGATTTGTTCCTGCTTGAATCGTGGACCATAGGTGTTTTACGCTAATTCATTTTCATGAGCTTCTAGACAGTCTCGTATATTCACATAGTTCTGAAAGACGAAAGAAGCAAATTATTAGATTAGAAAGGTTAATTCAATCCCAATTTCTCTTGGCTAGAAGGGAGGAGTTTTCTGGCGGGCTTTCTTGGATCAGGATAATCGGTGCAATCTTTTAAAAAAGATTTTCCTGTCCTCCCTACGTTCCCTTCCGTTCGGTGTGAGTTCTTTTTTCTTTTTTCCTAACTGAAGATTTGTAATAGTAGTAATTGAATCAGAGAACCGTTTCTGTAGGAAGTTTCAATAGAAAAAATATTACTTTGGATCGATTAAATAAGTCACGAAATCAGACAGATGGATTTCTGACCTGGTTAACCCCCATCTCCAATCGTTTGATCTTATTACAAAGTGAATCAAATGACGGTCGGTTTTCAGGCTCTGTTTCCCAGCAGTCCATCATAATAGCGTACCTAAATGTAAAGTAGCATGTTCTGTCACTGTTAAAAGTGAGGATTCATAACAGCTGAATTCGATGGAAGTGACGAGGGTGAGACAGACTACGACATCACAAATGAATGCAATGTTGCTTAAGACGAGGTTTTTTTTTAAAAAAAATTACATAAACCAGACATTCTAAACATACAATTCATCCCTGACATATTCTGGTTTTGGCATTCTGTATCCTTTGAGTAAAACATTCGGCAATGTCCATGGACTTATTCCTGGATAAGGCTCAGCTCCTGTAAAGCAAGGTTCTCACAATGATCTTCATAAACTATCGACATTCTGAAATACTAGTAAATTTTTAAACTTTGAAACATAAGAAAATCGTCTACTATAAATTGGATCCTGTTTATTTAAATACAGTAAACTATAAGTGCTTCCTTGAGACTAAACAAGGAAAATACGACGCCACAACATTTTCTTGACAATGTGTATGGCTCATATATGAGTTAAATTGTATCTACCTTTGATTTCCAGCTGGTTACGGAAGAATGTTTTTGAAGGATACCACAAATAGTATAGGTTTAAAAATAACACCTGATATATTATTAAGTATAATGACATAATGGCAATGGCAAATCGTCCATTGACGTACCAATAGTACAAATCTCAAAAAGAACGACTCCAAAGCTCCATCTGGAAAATATATATGCAAAAACATCGACAAATTAATTTTATTTATCTATAAATAACTTAAGAGTCCTTTCCCTTTAATCATTTCGTTACAATTCAGTTAAATACAGTTGCCCAAAAAAGGTTTCGCTGAAAGCGTTTCCTTGGTAGTGCAAAAGGCCCAATTTTTCTTAGTATAATACTTTGAAAGCACTCAGATGAGAATGCAGAAATGAGAATGTGAATGTCGAACTCAATCTTTGTTGAAGAACTCCGTTTAAGGTCTAAACAGAGCCATTTAACAGACATTGACTTCCACACCACTCATATTATATCTTATTTATCTCAGTTTTTAGTAAATAGAATGAAGAAAATATTTCACAGCGAATTTAGGTTCACTTAATACATACACATCACTTTGGATGGAGTATTTCATTGCCCCTGTCATTGCTTCAATTGCTGTCCACTTCACTGGGATACGACCCTAACAAAAAATAATAAAACCGACTTAAGCAGTGGTGAAATAAATGGCCTCTTTAATAAATTTAGATTAAAAGCAGAGATATGTCTATTAAGTGTTATTTGAATTTTGAAAATTGGAAACAATAAGTTGACCTCATATTGATGTACTTATCATGGATCAGATGTACAGTCAGAAGGAAGCTTCAAGGTGTCCCCACTTTTATAATATATTTGGAAACTGAAGACTTAGATCAGGTCGAAGCCGGATACCTGAGATCGTGGAACATAAATTTCTTTCAAATTGACATCTCGAGCCATTCCAAAGTCGGTAATCTTGCACCTGTGATTCTCGCCAACCAGTACATTCCTTGCTGCTAAGTCTCTGTGAAGAATCTATGTTGTGAACAATCACAACATTGGTTACTTCGAGGTCACATGGCATCTAACAATGAAACTGGTTCCCGCCAAAATCTCTGAGCGGGAAACATTGCAAAATCTATGACGTCTGAGGCCGAGAATGTTGACCGACGACCTTCGTTACAGCGAGGTTTAATGAATTTCCAGCCTCACAATTTCCAGCCATGTAACAAATCACTTAAAGACTACACCCTAGGGAAACAGTTTATTTTGTTTCCCTCGAATATCCCAATGTTGAGATTCTCGGGAAACGAAATAACTGTTTCCCTCGGCACCAGTCATTAAGTGTTTATTGTTACACTGACTGATGAGTAAAGCCAGTGAAGCTACAGATATAAGACTACTACAGTTAAGATGAGGCTTAATTGTACCACTGTCACCTTTAGCTGTTATTTGAATTGAGCCAGCGGCAAAATATTCTTAAATTAATACAAAATAGGTATGTAAACAAAAATGATATATAGGCCATTTCCCAGTTGCCCCAAAAATCAAGAAAAAAAGAAAGGTCTGTTCAAGTTTTTGTTTTTTCCAACAACTTCTAGAGACTGGCATCAGCTCCTCCCCGATATGCCCTTCGTCTCTTGAAGAATTTAAGAACTACCTTGGTTAATTTGTTTATTTTTTATTGTTACATGTAATTTTAATTGTTATATTTTTTTGTATTTTGTAAGTGGTTGGTGCGTTGCCTAACCGGTTTTTACCAACCTAATCGAGATGATGAAATCTGCTTCACAGCAAGGCTGAGTGCGAAGCCATTGATATGGAAATGCGTGCTTTTGGCCTATTGGTTAATACAATCCGGAATGACTGTTTGGCTTCACTTTCACGGAAAAAACGCCGATAAATCAGTTGAATGGCCATGGCATAATCCTTTGAAAAAAAATTGCAGTATGCCGTTCGAAATATTTGTAAGTCCCTTACTGTCTTACATTCCCCGGCTCATTTTTCATAACCCGCTAGCGCTAACAAAATTTTGAGGATTTATTATGATAGTCATTAATGATAAAAAAATTGCTGGACTATTGACGCCATACAAAGACAGCAGCTCGGAGGCCCAGCCATTTGGCAAAACAGAGCTCGTAAATGATAGCGGAAGATATCTGAACATACCACAGGGGAAGCCCAGAGCAGCCGAATCAATGTCTCAAAAAGGTAATAAGCACACACAAGGAAACTGGAGGGTGCCAAGGTCTCATGGAAAATATCTCTAAGAAAAAAAACACCACTAAATTTCCTCAAACAACCGAGGGACGAACAAATGTGTTAAAAAAATTTTCGTTGAGGAAACACTGTCTTGACCTTAAAACTGAATGTTTTGAATATGATAGAGAGTTTAAGGGGGCAGAAATATCCCTCCCCCGATTTGCACATAGTTATTAAAAAGTGGAATGGTTATGAAACCCGTTAGACTCTCTTGCTATATGTTTTTGTTAGCTTTTCTGACCAGACAGTGCACAACGTTCAATAGCATTCCTCTAATTTTGAACTTGCTGACCAATAAAAACATCGCATTAATTTATTCAGTCACAATTTGTAAACAAAAAGCAAAGGACTGTGGGCGGTCAGGGAGCTTACAACATAAACTACAGCACCGTAGTTTTCAACTTTGATGTTTGTCGGCTTTCATAACCAGTCTTCTTTACTAATAAGGATTCGCAGAATCATTTATATCTACTCAACCTCATCCAATCACTGTCCTTTGCAATGGGTTTATGTTAAGTTGTTTCACTATTTTTTAGGGATCGTATTTAAAAACTGATGTTGTGACGGATAGGTCCATGTTCTTCCCACAAGTCACATGACCAATGGAGAGCACCATGTACCTTTTTCGATGCGATATACCGCATTGCATCAGTTATCTGCCATGCATACTTTAACATCTGCTGTGATGTCAGGTTTGTCGTGGGTTCGATTTCAGATTCATCGTAATAGCAGTCAGTTGCTCCTCGACTTCTCCGAAGATAATGATAACAAACGGACCATCTATAAAAGAAATGTATTTATATTTAGCTGAATTTAGCTGAACATAGGTTTCGCTTTGTTCGTTTTCAAAAATCCGGCTAGATATAAAAGCATATCACTAACAGTGCCGGATTAAAAACTATAGTCTATGCTCGAAAAACAGTTCGTTGTCCCCTATGAATTTACAGCCTCTAAAAATGCACAACCTCTTTCACGATGAAGATGTATCAGATGTATCAACTGCTAAGGAATATATAACGTATCACTACGTCACTAATACTTGTTTTGTTCATCCAAGGAAAATAATCTTTTACAATAAACTTTAGCAAGTAACTACTAAAAATAGATGCACCATTTAAGAGGCTGTCTCAGTAAAAATAGCCTGCGTGCAGACGATAACTAAACTCTGATTAGTACCGTCTGCGAAGCAGCGCAGAGATCCTTGTTCAGGGCCCACAACGGACTCAACGAATTACCGGAAGTGCGTTTCGAATTCCCCTTCAACCTGATTGGCGATCACGACAAACAAAACAAAGCTTTTTTTAACTGGCCAATCGTGGCGCGTACTCAAATCTGGGTACACAGCTGGAAGTCCAGAACAAGGATTTCGGCGCTGTTTCGCAGACGGAGTTAACCAGAGTTTAATTTCGTCTGCGCGCAGGCTACAGTAAAAACCGTCCAGTCAATTTCGCGTGAAAAATAATTTTGTATGAAACTCTGGCGAGTGAAAGGCTTTATCGAGACTATAACTAAAATAGGTTTGCTTTGATTCACAATAATTTTCTGGCCGCGCTGGGGGACGCCGAGTATTTTGTCCCGCCACGGCCATTTTGCACGTCTTGAAAACTGAAAATTTGGCACTTTTTGCGGCGCTGTAAAATGTTTGATTTGCACCATCTATCAATGAATTTTATACCTATTTATAGGTAAACATCTCTAGTTTTTCCTGAAAGTAATAGTTATCCGCTAAATTTAGCTGGAAAGACGAAATCAAGCAAAATATGACCCCAACTAATTGCCTTGGAGCAAAAGGACAAAAATTACCCTGTTTTAGAAGCTTATTTCTGACTTTTGGGACGTAGTTGAAAGCTCTAGACTAAATAGACGCAAAGATAGACCATCTGTTATTAATGATATACAAAACCCCATGTACGATTTCAGTTTTTTAAAAGTTATGATCGTTTGTATCAACGCGTACGCGAGCTAATACGATATTTTCAGATTTAGCGTAACGGACTACCTCAAGCAGATTTTGTCAAAAGTACGGCCTACCTAATTCATTACTGGCACTGACTCACAAATTGAACCATATTCCAATCCCTGAGATGCCGGACTCCGTAAAATTCCAGTAAATGTGCTTTAGAGACTGCTGGTATGCGGCCATTTTTGAATCCCATGCTAACAATCCGAAGCTGAAAACAGGTGAAACTGTGTCACGTTTCGAGCTAAATAGCTCGGTGAAACAACCGTTCAGAGGTGAAAGTTTGCTCGAGAATCAGAAAATCAACTAGGCAGGTCTCCTTTTGGATAAGAAAATTGAGATTTCAGAGCTACAATCTCGAATAAACCTTCTATTCAACCGGCTCAGCAAGGTCAAATGCAGGTTGACACGTAAACCGGAAATGTAGAAACCCGGAAACAGGGAAAACCGGAAATGCGGAAATCCGGATCATCCGGAAATCGGCAAATCTGAAATCAATCAGGGGCCGAAGGCAATTCCAATAATTAGAGACAGCTGCATTCGTTTAGGGCTTCTTTTCGACGTTGAGACACGGAAAAGATAAAACCTTCCAAACCGGCGTAGCTGTTTGATTTTCACTGAACTGAAACGCAATTCCACAATCGATTGCGTTTGCCAAATAGGCTCCATTAGAAACAGTAAACATCATTAACCGGTTACAAACATTCTATGTGCGCTAACATATCACACTTGTGACTAATACTTTACAGAAGTTGGCTATATATCGAAACCGAATGTTTCCAGATCTAGGAAACCAAGCCAGCTTGGTTGTCTGGGCTTATGTTTTGAAATGGATCTTCAGGCGATGAGGTTGTCTTCCGTTGAACAAGCTAGGATATACTCGGTTTGCACAATCCTTTTGCCCAGTGAATGTGCCGCTTTCCCACACTGCCTCTCAAGTGGTTGTAGAGAATATCATATTTTAAAAGGCTGAACCAGTGAGCAGCACTTTTGTTAACTTCTTGAGTAGTAAAATTGTTTTATTGTCTACTACGTGTTTCGTGTGACTAGCGCACACTTCATCAGCGAGTTTTACAATACAAATAAGAGTACCTGTATAGATACCTAAAAACGAACTGAATTCTAGGGCCTGTTTACACGGAGGCGAGGGACCCCAGGTAGGTTAGGTAACCCGCTTAGGTGGGGTAACCCGCCTGTCCATATAATCTCACGGTTTAATTTGATCACGTTTACATGATAGGTGGGGTGACCCGACAAGGCGGGTAGCCCAGTCTGCCAGACCGGGTTATCCTCTCAGCCACTTTGGCGGTGGCTTTGCATCATTGTTAAAGGTAACAAGAGAAAGACACAGCCCTGAAGGTTGCAGCAAGAGCAGCAAGTAAGCCGGTTGAAGAGCATTAATCGCCAAAACACGTGGTTTTCCAGCATTTTTGTTGTTTACGTGCATAGCGACCATTCAATAATCTTGAGAAAGTACAACCCCGGATGGCGGGGTTGTAAGATTGCATGTAAAGGAGGGTTATGTTTTTACCCCACTTAAGCGGGTTACCTCACCTATCTGGGGTCCCCCTCCTCCATGTAAATAGGCCCTTACATCGAACAAAAAACGTCTACGGATTTGCGTCTAGGAAACAGGCGGAGAAATATTTTGCAAGGCGTGACATATTTGTAATGTTTTTGGGCCTACGGTTTTACCTACGTACTACTAGCAGACAGAAAACTTAAATAAAGGTTTTTATAAAAGTCACCAAATTTCCCGTCTTAATTTTCGCGGCACCTTTTTTTCGCGGTACTTTAATTTTGCGAAATTTTT